TAGTATCCCCTTTAGACCCAGGCAGTGGGGAGCCCTGGCCTAGGCCCTTCTCTCTAGAAGGTATGGTGGGGAGAATAACAGAATAACAGCACCTCCAAAGATGTCCACATCCTAATCCCCCAACCTGTGAATATGTTATCTTATATGGAAAGGGGGAATTAAGGTTGCTAGGCAGCTGACCTTAAAATCAGGAGATTAGGGACTTCGCTGGTGGTCCAGTGGTTAAGAATCCGCCTTTCAATGCAGGGAACGTGGGTTCAATCCCTGGTCGGGGAACTGGGATCCCACATGCTGCAGGGCAACTAAGCCCACGTGCTGCAACGAAGAGCCTGCCGCAACAAAGAGTGTGCGTGCCGCAACTAAGATGCGACACAGCCAAAAAATAAAATAAATAAATTTTAAAAATCAGGGGATCATCCAGGTAGGGCCAATGTAATCACAAGTGTCCTTTAAAGATGGAAGAGACAGAAAGAGTCATGATCAGAGTGATGTAATGTGAGAAACTGGACTGCCATTGCTGGCTTTGCCAATGGAAGGGGGTCATGAGCCAAGGAATGCCAGTAGCATGTACCAGCTGGAAAAGGTAAGAAAACAGATTCTCCCCTAGAGCTGCCACAACCTTGATGTTAGACCATTGAGGTTTATTTTTGACTCTGACCTTCAGAATTGTAAAATAATTTATGTCTTTTTAAACCACTAAATTTGTGGTAATTTGTTCCAGCAGCACTAAGAAACTAATACAGAAGACCCTTCTGTGGCCACAGGATGGAGGAGGAACCCACAGGGCCCAAAGGAGTGCCCAGGCAGGGCCCCCTTCAGCCTTTTACATACACTTGAGCATCAGAATCCGCAGAGTTCCCTGTGCATCACTCCAGGGTCCATCCTCCCCAGGGCAGCTGGGGTGGGTGGGGAGGAACCCAGCTGGTCCATGGTGGGATCTGGTTATTAGGTCAAGGAACATCCATTTTAGAGAACACTGGGTACCTTGTTAAAACAGTGAGACAGATCCACGCATCCCCACCTGGGAAGCTCTCCACTTCACGTTGTTCAATTTAAAAAAATAGTGAATGTTAGAGCAGTATTAAAAGTGTATAGGACTTCCCTGGCGGCCCAGTGGTTAAGACTCTGCGCTTCCACTGCAGAGGGCGTCGATTTGATCCCTGATCAGAGAACTAAGATCCCACAATCCACACAGCGGGCCAAAACAAAAACAAAACAGTGCAATCCCAGGTTGTAAAACAAAGACATAAATGTGGAAACAAGTCCAGGGTCACGTTGTAAAGAACCACACCAAGCTGTTAACGGTGGGGGAGTGGGGCAGAGGGGCGTGGAAAAGAGGGTTGTGGTGCAGGGGGTTCTACAGGCAGGCGATGGAACGGAGAGGGAACAGGCGCAAAGAGGCGGGGCCGGGCGGGTCTGGGCGCTGGGCCGCCCTTAAACTGGGTCAGAGGGCTCCGCGCACCCCTATCGCTCGGGGGAGGCGCGGCTCTCCGCAGGGCGGCCCAGATTGGCCAGAGCCAGAAGCCCGCCCACAGGAAGGAGCCCCGCACAGGGCGAGCGAGTCAGCGGGTGCCGCACCCCTTCCCGGACCTGCAGGTCCTCTTAGCCCGGGCGCGCAGCGTAGCGGGTTGGACCAGGTTCATTGTGGACGAACCGCCCCTCAGGCACAGCCCGGTTCGGCGTGGCCCGTAAGTCGGTCCCCAACCCCCAAACGGACTTCTCCGGCCGGGACCACCCGGAACCCCTGCACGAATCCGCGTGCGACCCCGAGCGCATTAATGGCCCACCATGGTGCCTGGTGAGCTCGGGGCCTAGGAGGCCCGTCATCCCGATGACAAGCCCGAGGCTTCGGGAGGGACCCCTCAGCGATGAGACTCCAACTCGAACCGCAGGCGCTCGGCACAGTCCAGAAGCGTCCAGTGGAAGCCTCGCAGCACCCAGGCTCGGCAGCCAGGTGTCCCCCGCCCCCACCCAGGGGAGTCGCGACGCGGCGGCCGCGTGGGCTGAGCACCTCCCTGCAGAGCCTCTCTTACCAACGCTGGGCCCTTGAGTCCTCCCACCCACACCCAAACAAGCCACGAAAGAGAAGCTGGGAGCCCCCAGGTCACCTCCCCGGATCCCACTCCAGCTTCTCCAAATAGTGAAAGTCGCCCGCACCCACCAGTGACTCAGGCACACACCTGGTGTCACCTCCCCCGCCCCCCCAGTCCACACCCACACCAGAGCAAGCCTGTCCCCATACTTTGTCTCTGGCCCCACTGCCACCCGACAGCCAGTCCCTCAGGGTCTCCTTGTTACCCCCACACCCCCAGCAACCAGAAGGAGCACTTAAAATGCCAGGGCATCCTTGTGTTTAAAGCCCAGCAGCGTCGGGCTTCCCTGGTGGCGCAGTGGTTGAGAGTCCGCCTGCTGATGGACATGGGTTCGTGCCCCGGTCCGGGAAGATCCCACATGCCGTGGAGCGGCTGGGCCCGTGAGCCATGGTCGCTGGGCCTGCGCGTCCGGAGCCTGTCCTCCGCAACGGGAGAGGCCACAACAGTGAGAGACCCGTGTACTGCAAAAAAATAAAAAAATAAAACCCAGCAGACTCAAAACTCAAAACCAAAGCGAGCGAGGTGGGTGCAGAGCTGGGGGAGGTGGGGTGGGAGTGGGAGTGTCCTTGGTGCAGTTCCCCTTTGGGGAGATCTGGAGATGATAATGGGGATGTGAATGTACTTAATGCCACTGATCTTTGCACTTAAAAATGGTTAAAATGGTGAATGTTACATATATTTGACAAAACAAACTCACTCCAGTGGCTGCCCCCACACCCCAAATAAAATCCAAACTCCCAGGCCAACTGCAAGGCCCAGCTCCCCACGCTGTGGTTCCACTAAAGCCCCCAGGTCACCTCCTCCTCCAGCCCTAGCATCCATCTGTGTTCCATCAACACACTAAGCCTGTGCACTGGGCCTTTGTGGGGCAGTTCCCTTCGCTTCCAGCCCAGCATTCACTCCCACTCTCCCTGGTGTCACTCTTGCTGACCACCATCTCAACTAGCCCCTCTGTGATTCTCCACCCAGAGAGGCAGCATGGTAGCAGGGTTAACAGAGGCCCGGCAGCTGGGCAGGCCAGGCCACGTCCCCACCCCAGTGCTCACCAGCTCTGGGACTTGGTGCCCCCGTTTCCCCAGCTGAGAAATAAGGATGACAAACAGGAACCCCTTTGGATTGTGGACAGAAGGAAGGAGTACTAGTACATGCTAGAGCACTAGGAGGCCTGGCACTGGTGGGTACTGTAAAAGCTCCTCCCTATTGGGCTCCTGCAGGTGGCCCCCACCCCAGGCCATCCCTCAGGCCTGCATCACATGGTTGTTCTTCCCAGCCTATTCACCATCAAACACAGCTGGGACCTGCAACCGTTTTTGTCACCTTGGGCCTGGAGACACTTCCTTTAGTGGCTCTGAGGCAGAGGCAGGAGGGGCAGTGGCCCGGCCACATACAATGGTGCCCCATGACCTCCTGCACCAAGGGCTGCTCCTGTGTGAAAGGGGGAGAGGGGTGCCTACCCCAGGACCCAAATGGGCGGAAGTCAAGACAACAACCCCAGACCTGGGGCTCACCAACGCCTGTGTCGTGGCTGTCCTCAGAGCCAGCAAGGCCCCCTACAGCCCACCCGCCTTGCCTCAAAGCTGTCCTACTGGGCTTCCCTGGTGGCGCAGTGGTTAAGAATCTGCCTGCCAATGCAGGGGACACGGGTTCGAGCCCTAGTCCAGGAAGATCCCACATGCTGTGGAGCAACTAAGCCCGTGCGCCACAACTACTGAGCCTGCACTCTAGACCCTGAGAGCCACAACTACTGAGCCTGTGTGCCTAGAGCCCGTGCTCCACAACAGAAGCCACCGCAGTGAGAAGCCCACGCACCACAAAGAAGAGTAACCCCCACTTGCCGCAACTAGAGAAAAGCCTGCATGCAGCAACAAAGACCCAGTGCAGCCAAAAATAAAATAAATAAAATTAATTAAAATGCAGAGATTAAAAAAAAAAAGCTGTCCTACCCAGGGAGCCCAAGAGCCTGTGCTCCCAATGTGGGGGGACTGTTGCCAAGGCTGAGGACACCGGAGGCTGCAGGATGACACTAATGGACAAACACAGTGGCAGGGTGCAGGATACACACCGAGGACCCCCAAGCTGCCTACCAGCACCAGGCAGGGTCACCCACAGCTGTGTAAACACCAGGGCACAAGCGGATCATTTTACCCACTCAGGAGCTGGGTCAGGAAGTAGAGCTGTTCAGAAAAGAAGCCAAAAGAAATGGAGCCTCAATTATCCTGAGGGCTCAAGGCAGTAGAAACTCTGGTTGGGCAAGTTGACCGGGTTCAGCCCAGGGGCCCCAAGGCCAGTGCAGATTCCTCTTGAAGGTTGGAGAGGAGTGCCCGGTGCCGTGTCCAGGTCCAGCGCTGTGGCCTTGGGCCTCCACTTGGCCCACCCAACTCAGGGGTACAGAGAACTACCCACAGGACACCCGCACACACCAGCCTCCCAAACCCTTTGCAGTGCCCACCCGAGGCCCCTCCTGTCTTCGGCTCCATCCAGCCTGTTCCCTAACTTGTCTCCATGACCATTGATCCATTCTTTCCTGTTAAACATTCCAAGGTGCACCTACCCTTTAGCTCAGCCCCATAGGCAAACTGCTGAAGCTGAACAATCACTCCCCAAGCCCCTTCCTGCCGGATTTCCAGCCTGTAGTCCATGGCTTCCCCCTCCTGCCCTCTGTTCATTTTCAGCTAGCTCATCTGCCTGTGGGTCTGCAGGCCTCAGACACATCTGTCTAACAGAGAGGGGACCTGCTGCCCCCACTGAGCCCCATAAACCCCACAGGCAGGGTGAAGCTGGAATCCGGCCACTCCCAACCCTGAGCCACAAACACCAGCCCCAACCACCACCACCAACAGCCACCAAGGTGAGGACAGAAACAGCAAAAGCCCCACTTTGAAGCAAAAAACTCAGAGACCAGGCGAGTCCCGACGGGGCACATGTTTATCCAAGCCAGCCGCCTCCGGGCCGAGGCCCCCACCACTCTCTGGAGACCAGTTCCTCGATGGCCCAGCCGACAGTGTCCAGCTGGGGTTGGGCATCCCCTCCAGCGGCGGTCCTCAGTCACTGCCTGGCTTCTTCCGCCTGCCACACCAGCTCGCCCGAGATGTAGGTGGCCCGGACGTGGAGAGAGTCATCGAGCACCACAAAGTCTGGGTCAGAGGTGGGTGGTGAGAAGCAGGCAGGGGCAGGGCTGCCACCGTCCCCACCCCAAGGCCCGGGTGCAGGAAACCAAGGCCCGGCACACGACTTGTGCAGGACATCCCAGCCCATCACAGACTGAGGCCCCAGAAGCAAGACTCCGGGCAGCAGAGAACAGCCAACAATGTTCCCGCAGACCCTTGCCTGGCCCATCTCAGATGCCAGAAGGCCTAGCCTACCGGATGGGAAAGGGGGGCCGGACCGAGGCCACTGGCCTGGCAAAGCCACCTAGGTGAGGGGAAGAGCCCACCTCCTGCCCACCTGCCTCCTTGGCTCTGTCCCAGGCCTCCCAGGAACTCCCAGGCCGCCCCTCATTGGGCGCTGACCTGCATCGGCCCCAAAGTCCAGGGTCCCCTTGTGCTTCTCCAGGCCCAGCAGCTGTGCAGGGTGCAGGGACGCAGCCTCCAGGGCAGACTCCACGCTGCAGCCTGCTCAGGGAGCACAAATGGGTGACTACCCCCAACCCCTGGCTGGCTCTGCCATTTGACTTCAGGGCAGGCAGGGCCGGGGGGTGGGGGTGCAGCAGCAGAGCACCGAGTCCTGGGTGGCCTCATGATGCCTGGGGTCCTCCTTTCTGGAGGGGTGCTTTCCTTGGAAGCCAAGGGGAGGGGCCTGCAGACATTTGGGTCTAGAGCATTTTGTCAGTGAGGTCCCTGCAGGGCTGGGATGGGTGAGTGGCAGGAAGAGGGTACCCAGCAGGGTTCCCCCCCCAGCCCCAGAGCTCCAAATCCTAAGGTCACACCCCAAGACTCCGCAGCAGGGTGATGAGGCCCTCCCCTCCCCCCAACCTGAGGATACTGCTGGGTACCCCAATTCTCTCCATCCCCTGCTTCACCCCCCAAGCCAGGCCAACAGCTGTCTGTGCCTCCCAATTCGTCTCCCTGCGGCTCCAAACAGCACCTTGGACCTCGGTGCCCCCCACCCCCGGCCCCCTGCATGACATCCCAGCCCCAAGGCACTGCCAAGAGCCCCACAGGGCCTGGCCCACCACAGCCTCTGCCAGACACACCCTCCTCACCTCCCCAAAAACATGCCAACCCCATTGAGAGGCCCCCGAGCAGCCCAACCCTGGAGCCTGGAGTGCTGCCCCCACCCCACTGCCCTCCACAGCTCTGCACCTGCCAATCCTGCAGTTCCACAGGCCCCAGGCCAAGGCCCTGCCCTCGGGTGCCGTGGCTTCAGTGCCTGTCACTGTGGGTTCCAGCCATCCGCTTGCTCGCAGCCCTCTCCCTCTGCCATGAGCTCCTGCAGGCGGGACCTTGGCCACATTCCTAGTGCCCATCCCCTGGGGACCCCACCAGACACAGACAGGCCCTGGTGGTCCCCACTCTTCCCTCCAGCTACTCCCAGATGTAGCCTCTGCCCCAGCACACACACTCACACACACGCACACACACACGCGGCACACGCACCCCAGCCTCACTAACCTGTGGCCTGCAGGAAATGCCGGACGCAGGTATCCATTGGGGCTATGCTGCCACTCAGTGTGTTGGTGCCTTGGGAGCAGAAAGGGCAGGTTCTGGGGAGGCCAAGGGCACCAGGCACACTGGGCCACCCGAGGGCCCAATGGGTCGGCAGGGGACACCCAGGTTCTTATATCCCACCAGAGGGGCTGAGAGGCTATCCTCACTCCGGCAGTCTTCGGGACAGGGGTCACTCACCTGCCACATAGGCTGTCAGGCCATCCACCTCCACTTCCTGCTGCCCCAGCGTGTGACGGCCATTGCCCAAGCCCAGGGCAGGGACAGCATCAGTGACCAGCACCAGCCCTGCAAGGGGAAGGGGCCTCAGGAGCTGCCCAGCTTGGTCTTCCTACTGGCTCCCACCCTGTATGGCCGCTCACCCTCGGGGTGGGCCCGGTGGGCGATGCGCAGGGCGGCAGGGTTGGTGTGTATGCCGTCAGCAATCATCCCGTAGAAGATGTGGCGGCCCAGGGGCAGCCGATCACTGGTCAGGAGCCCCACGATGCCTGGGTCACGGTGGTGGAACTGGGCAGGGGCAGGCGGGGGGCGCTGAGCAACAGCAGGACCCCTGCACCCTCCCGCCAGGAGCTGGGGTGGCACTCACAGGCAGCATGGCGTTGAAGAGGTGGGTGATGAAGGTGGCCCCGCTCTGCACGGCTTCCTCCGCAGTGCCCAGGTCAGCTACTGAGTGCCCTGCGGCGACCCAGACTCAGACTCGGCACCAAGCCCAGGACCCCGGATGGGCTGGCCCCCAAGGTGATGACACACCCCCTTACCTAGGGACACGCAGATGCCAAGGGCCGTCAATGCCCGGATCACCTCGTGGCTGCGGCCCAACTCGGGGGCCAGTGTCACGATGCGGACGTTGTCCAGGCCCCCATAGGTGGCCAGCAAGTCTTGGAAAGCGTTGGCCTCAAAGGAACGCAGGTGGGCCTCGGGGTGTGCACCCCGCTTCTCGTGGCTGATGAATGGGCCCTCCAGGTGCACCCCTGGGGGGAGGGGAGGGGATGATTCCAGCAGGCCCCCTGCCCTGCAGCCCCCACCCTGGCCCCTCTTGCCTGCCCGCCCTCCCTCCCCAGTTGGGCATCTGGAAGGCAAGGGGCTGCCAACAGGTCCCCAAGGAGCCTCCCAGGGTAGGGGTGGGGAGAAGGGTCAGCCACTCACCGAGGACCCCTGCCCCATGGGGACCACCACTCTTCACGGGGATCTGAGGAAGGACCTGGGGGGAACCAGCTGTTAAAGCCCTGCCCCCCACGGCCCAGCACCCAGAGGTCACAGCCCAGTCAAGGTCAGAGGTCAGAGTTCAGAGCCCAGCCCCTGCTGGCCTTCCCTCAGGTGTTAGAAGATGGTCGAAGGCCCCAACCACGGGAAAGCACAGCACATCAAGAAATGACAGGTGGGCTTCCCTGGTGGCGCAGTGGTTGAGAGTCCGCCTGCCGATGCAGGGAACACGGGTTCGTGTCCCGGTCCGGGAAGATCCCACATGCTGCCGAGCGGCTGGGCCCGTGAGCCATGGCCGCTGAGCCTGCGCGTCTGGAGCCTGTGCTCAGTAACTGGAGAGGCCGCAAAAGTGAGAGGCCCGCGTACCGCAAAAAAAAAAAAAAAAAAAGAAAGAAATGACAGGTGCCCAGGGATGCAAACCTGCCCTGCCTGAGAGGACCTAGAGGCGGGGAGACAGCTCCCAAGCAGGGGGCAGGCACATGGCACCAAGGCCCTCAAGGGCCCCGTCAGACAGAAGCTAGGACGCAGCGGGCCGCGCACCAAAGGGTCTGGACCTAGACAGGATGACCAGCCTGGCCTCGCTGAGCTGCAGGCCCAGGAAGCAGGGCTGGCGCAGGAGGAGGGCACGCAGTCCAGGCAGAGCAAGAGGCAGAAGCAGGGCTTGGTGGCCAGAGAGCTCAGGCACCGATGGCGCAGCCACACTGTGCCCGGATCTGGACACCAGGGGCAAAGTCACTTGTGTGACTCTCTGGGGAGATTGGGGGGCTGGAGGGCAGGAGATGGGCCTGAAAGGGCTAACAGAAAGCTAACTCTTATCTTTCCTGGTGGAAAGCAACACTTACGCTGCCCTAAACCAAAAAGTTGAGCAGGAGTACTAGCACATTTTCTAGAGATACGGGGGCAAATTCCAAGGGTCAGCTGAGTTGAAAGTGATTACCTCTACGTGGGAACTGGTGGGAACAAAGGGCTGCTGTTTTTCCTAACAAACCGTGTGATACACGTAAGTTCACTAAAGGGTTAAAAAATTAAAATTAGGGCTTCCCTGGTGGCGCAGTGGTTGAGAATCTGCCTGCTAATGCAGGGGACACGGGTTCGAGCCCTGGTCTGGGAAGATCCCACATGCTGCGGAGCAACTGGGCCCGTGAGCCACAACTGCTGAGCCTGCGCGTCCAGAGCCTGTGCTCCACAACAAGAGAGGCCACGACAGTGAGAGGCCCGCGCACCGCAATGAAGAGTGGCCCCCGCTTGCCACAACTAGAGAAAGCCCTCGCACAGAAACGAAGACGCAACACAGCCAAAAAAAAAAAAAAAAAAAAATTAAAATTAAAAAAAGAAATAATGGCTGCGTTTTTCTAGAACAGAGTTTTAAAAGGGAATGCTAGAAAGCACTGAGTAGACAGAACAGTCTGGAGATGAAGGGAATGAGGCACGTTCAAGGCAGGAAAGCAGTGGAAAAGGTGAAAGTGTAGAGGGCGTTTGGGGCCTGAGGAAAGGGCCTGGCTGCCACCCTGAGGAGGTGCCTGATGTTGACTCAGCAGACAATGGACCTGAAGCAGAGAACAACGCGCTCAGACCCTCCTCCTGGAAGGGTAGGAAAGGGCAAGACTGGAGGAGGAGACCCCAGAAAAAGAGCAGGTGGTCTCAGTGGACCTGAAGAACTTCTGACAAAGTAGCAATCTGTTTCCGCCCACTGTGAAACGTCCCTGGAGGGAGATGGGGCAGAACGAAGGGAGGGGCGTGTGTGGGGACATCCAAGTGAACAGTTCTCTGGTTTCTAACGTGATACTGGTATCAAAGTTTTCATATTCAAAGCCCTCCACGATTTCCACCATAAATCAGTTTACTCTATGCCTCCCAAGGCTTTCATCCTGTAAGCATTTATGAAGGGTGACAGGAAGAAAACGTAAGACAGAAGCCCTACTGGCCCAAAACTCCTTCCCCTATGGAAGAAGCCCCACAGTTCATATCATGATGCTCGAAGGTGCTGCTTGAAATCAAGGGCAGCGGGTGACAGCACGGCATGGGCAGCGCGCAGCAGAGGAGCTACACAGGACGGAGAGAGAGAGGCAGAGGCCTTCCACGCGGAGAGCTTGGGGGCAGAAGAGGGAGCTGCCTCGAATGGCTGAAATGCAGGTGGGGAAGGAATGCTCAGGAGGGTTGGTCAACCCTGCAGGAGGTTGGGGGAAACATGAGTGTTGTGCGGAGCCTGACACCTAGGAAACGCCACTCTGGCAGGACTCAGGGCTGGGAGAGCAGTTGGGAGACTGGGTTAGGAGTCACTAAGCCTCACTGTTGGGGACCAGGAGAGGGGAGGAGAAAGAAGGGGGGGCAAGAGGGTAGGCATGTTCCTGGATCCTGGGCAGGGAAATTACAGCCTGATGACTGAAAGAGAAAACACAGAACTAGGGGCCAGTTTGCAGCAGGAAAATGAGATTGGTTTTTGACACCTGACTCTGTCGTGGGAGACTCGGGGAAATTTCCGGAAAGATGTCCATAGCTGACATTTACCAAGGGCATACTATGAACCAAGCATAGTGCTGAGCGCCCAATCCTAAGAGATGCATTCCGTTATTATTCTTACTTAAGGCTTGAAAAAACTGAGGTTCAGAAACAAATAACGTTGTCCCGAGTCTCCGAGACGATACACGAAGTCAGGGGGCCAGGACCGAACCCGGGTCCACAGCCAACCTCCCCCAGCTCCAGGCTCTGAGTCTGCGTGCACACACCCAGGAGGGGACCCCACAGCAGGCAACACAATCCAGGATCCTGGGATGGATCCTGGTCTGGAGAAAAACTACAAAACTAGAACGTAAAAGGTAGACTAAAAGGAAACCGTGTTAATTCCCAAAACTCAAGGACTCCATGGTACTCGAATAAAGGAATACCCATGCTTTTAAGAAAAGGGTAAATACTAAGGAGCAAACACGTATGTTGTGTGCCAACTACAATTCAGAAATTCAGAGAAACAGAACAATATACAAACAGAGAAAACAAGATCGAATAACATAACGTGGCAAAGAGCAAAACCGGAGAACCTGCGTACAAAGCAAAACTTAAAAGAAAAATGGACTGTGGACAACTGAATCCCAAGACTTGCAGATGAGAAAGAAGTGTGGTGGTGCATGCGGGACCAGCAGAGGAAGCCTGGGGCAGGCGATGGAGCTTCTTCCTGGAGAGCTGTCCACTGGCACCGCATACCACAGATCGGTGGTGGGGCATGATCAACTAAGGATGTGGCAATCACAGAGTCCCCAGCAGCCATAGTCAAGGAGGTGCCTGGAGGCGGCCAGACTGCAGGGTGGGGAGGGCGTATGGCAGGTGGCTGAGGCAGCGAATGCGGAAGCCCATGGGGACAGTCAGACCTGCAGTGGCACACCAGGCGGAGGAACACCTGGATGAGAAAGCCCAGGGGAGGGGACCCCCAAGCCCAGGTGGAGGGAGGCCAGCAGGTGAGGCCAGACTCAAGGGCCAAGGGGTGTTCGTGAGGGAAAGAGATCAGATTTGAAAATTAAGAGGCTGGGTGTTCCTGGGGCCTCCTTCACTGGAGGCCGGGAGCCTGACCTCACCTTGCAATAAACCTCCGGTGGCGAGGTGACCAACGTGGGACAGAAGGAGGTGACTCCGTGCGGCAGGATCCTCCGGGCCACCAGGGCGACTCCCGAACCCACGTCCTCTGTGGCCTGAGAGAAGTCAACGCCAAACCCACCTGCGGTACAGACAAGAGGGGATCACACGGTGCTCAGAGCTCCTCTTCTGGGTCCCCGCCCCGCGGGCTCCGGACCACACCGTTGATCTGCACGTCGATGAAGCCGGGCGCTAGGATGCAGCCCCCGCAGTCCCTCTGCTCGTCAGCCACGCGCCGCTCCTCAAAGAACAGCTTCTCCGGGTCCAGAATGCGGCCCCCGCGCACCCACAGATCCTCCCTGCGCACAGAGCGGGGCGGAGGTTCGCATCACCGGCCCCGGAGCCCACCAGGGCAGCCCCGGCCCCGGCCCCGGCCCGCGCCCACCTGAGCAGCGCCCGGCCCCGCAGGATGCGACAGTTGGTGAACTGGATCACCGGGGCCCGCGCCGCGCCCTGCCCGCCGCGCATCCTGAGCCCAACCAAGCGGCAGGCGCCGGATTCCGCGCCGAGTTCCGGCCTAGAGCTTGGCCGGGCGCACGTGACCCTCAGCTGAGGCGTGCCCACGTGATTCGGGCACCCACGTGACCAGCGCAGTACACAATGACGCGGTGACGTCTTCCCGGGTGGCCCGGCCCTCGGCCCTCGGCCCCTCCCTCCCTCTCGGCCCTGCCACCCGCGAGCCCCGGGACCCAACAAGCGACCCACACCCAGGCATCCAGTCACATCCGAGAACTTTATTGGACACGGTTCGGCGCCAGGGCCCAGTGGGCCCAACACACTGCGCCACGGCCCTGGCAGCCAGAGCTGCAGGAGGTGGTTCCATCCAATGCGTCTCAGGGCAAACGGTAACCGGTAACCGCACAACGCAACAGTCTACCTAAGATTACTATAGAGTTGGGAGACAGAGGGCTGCTCCATAGACGTATGAACAGGTCAAATCTTTATAAATAAACATCCAGTGAAGAGAAAATGACAACTCTAATTCATCCTTATACACAGAGCACTCTAGGGCAGATGGGTGGGGGGCGGCCAGAGGCCTGCATCCTCACTGGTCAGGGGCCTGGACCGGGAGTGGTGGGCCCAGATGTCCACGGCACGGGGCGGGCAGGGGCAAGGCTGGGGGCAACAGACAATGGGCACTAGGACACTGCGCATTTACAAGACCAACTACTGGCAGGCAGCTGCCCCGTGCGTGTGTGTCAGGCTGTTCGTTCTGGAATGAGGAGGGGGTGGTCTTTACATCATATTCTGTGGCTGGTGGGCCCGGAGGGGCTACTTTGTGGAGAGGATGAGGGCGACGATGAGACCGTAGAGGCCGAGCACCTCGGCGAAGATGAGGATCAGGATCATGCCCACGAATAGCCGGGGCTGCTGGGCAGTGCCCCGCACGCCGGCGTCCCCCACGATGCCGATGGCAAAGCCAGCTGCCAGCCCACTCAGGCCCACGCTCAGGCCAGCGCCCAGTTGAAGGAAACTCCTGGGGGAGAGAGTACACAGGATGGATGTTAGCCAACAGCCAGGGAAGGCATTAGGCATGGGTCACCAGCCATCCACCCAAGACCCCTCCTGGCTCCGCACAGTGGCTTTACCCCAGGCAGGGTGTAGGGAGAGCAACCCAGGCCTCACCTGTAGAGACTGATGCCATCATTCAGGGAGTTGGCAATGAGGACTGCCACCACCAGGCCATAGATTGCGATGATACCGGCCATGACCACCGGGATGATGGACTTCATGATCAGCTCCGGCCGCATGACAGACATGGCTGCGATGCCGGTGCCACTCTTGGCTGTGCCATAGGCAGCACCCAGGGCTGAGGGGGAGAAGATGAGGTGAGCCCAGAGCACCTGTGGCCAGAACCCTGGGGGCAGCTTTTGGCATACTTGAAGGCCAACGCAAGTTATCACCCGCAAGGGGCAAGATGAAAGTGGCACTCAGCCAGGAGCAGGTGGCTTTCAGAGGAACAGCCATAGCTGGGCACTCAAGGAACCCACGGTATGGGTTCCTCCACCAGATACCCTCATGGCTGTCTGGCCCATATGGGCTCCTGCTTTCCTGTGAAATCCCAACCCAGGCTCAACAGCACTCCCCATGCCTGCTACATAGATCCCATGCTTCCATGGAGCCTCAGACCTAAAAGGGGGAGCCGTGACAGGCTGCCCTGTCACGTGGGGAAACAGGCAGCTGGGCACAGAAGCCTTGCAGATTCTGGGCACCTTTTGTCCCACCAGGCACTTTCCCACGTCAGGAAAGGCCTGGAAAAACACGAGCTATGTCAACAGCCCAGATGTTGAGCCTGGGTCAGCCCACAAGCCCTGGGACTAAGTGCAGAGACAACACGCTGGAAGAGCCACTGCAGTGCAGGGTCAGGGGAAGCTGGCCTGGCAATTCTTGTCCTCTCAGGCCAGAGGTTCGCCCACTCCCCACCCTGCCCACCACACTTCCCACAACTCCCAGCCCAGGGACACGCTGCAGCAAGGGCTAGTGTGTCTGTCAACAGGCTGAATGCTCTGCCAGAAAAGGCAGCTCTCGGCACCCTCAGCCACAGAGCAGGCCAGGACCCTTGAGTTCAGGGAGAATCCTCTCTGAACAACCAGAGAAAGGGCAAGTCAAAGAGAGGACAGGGTACAGGAAAGACAGTGGGCTGCGAAGCCATCACCCAGGCCAACCCCAAGGCCCCTGCAGACCTGTGAGAAGCCTAGCTTGTGTTGAGGCCTCTGGTAACTGGGGTGGGGGGGAGGCTCTAGGCACTGCAGGACTCCTGTCTCCCCTGCCACTATCTCTCCTCCCTCTTCCCAGGGTGGGCTGCCTTCCTGAAAGCCCCCCTTCTCCTGGCCTGTCTTCCAAGCCTAGGAAAAACGATTGCAAGTACAACAGACAACCACAGGGCCCCAGGCAGCTGTTCTGACTCCAGTCGCCACCCTCGAGGCTCCCAATGTGCGGCTTGAGCAGATGCTGACATGGGTTAGAGGTGGAAGGGGCCAGGACAATCCCAGACATTCCTGTGCATCTTTGACTCACCTGTTTGGGCTGTCAAAAGATGACTAATCTGTGCTCATTGCAGAGCAGGGATGAGGTCAGAGGGGCTCTGCCTTCCCAGGGCTCTGAGCCTGGTGAAGAGATAGACGCAGCCCCTCCAAGCATGGTAACATGTTCCAGGAAGAGTGGGGAGGTCTGGGGAAAGGTTTCACAAGGGAGGTGACAACTGAGTGGAGGGCTGATAGTGAGTAGGTAGTCACAGAAAGGCGAGGCAAGAGGAAGAAGATTCCAGACCACACAGAGCAGAGATACCAGATAGGGAGCAGAGGGAGGGAGGCAGTGGTGGGGGCAGCAGGACCTTCACTGCTTCCCCTCCACACCCCCGACATCCAGCCTTCAGGTGCCAATCTTCACCAAGCTGCTCCGGAGCAACCGTGCATTTTTCAGCCTCCTACTACGGGCCCAGCACCACACCAGGCCAGCGCCAGGGCTCATTACTCAAGGACGAGGACACAGACTGATAGGTGGCACTGGGTGAGACCCCATTACAGGGAAGCCAGCGCCCCAGGCAGTGAGCCCTGCTGCAAGGCTGGAGCGGGTGAGAGTTGGCAAGTGAGCTGGGCCCTTCTCTGTAGAGTGCAGCATGGAGATCATGTGGCTGTGCTTCCCCTGGGGGTGGGGAAGCCACAAGAGGAACAAAGGGAAGAAACAAGGATGACCATCAAGAGGGAAAAGCAGCCTGACCCAGGCTGCTGGGCTGGGAAGACCCTGGATGCCAGCTCCAGAGTCCAAGCCTGAAGGTGCTCCAGATGGAGCAGGGAACAGAAAGAGGAATCAGGACACAGTTCCGTGAACATAGCGCCAAACACCAGTGGCTCACTGGTAGGGAGGAAGTCACAGAAGATATGGAAAAGGAGCAACTGATGGCTCCATGGAAGACATGATGAAGAAAAAATATACAAGACTTGGGTCGTAAGTTAAGAAAAAAAGGGAAGCTGGAATGGGTGATGGGGATTGGGAGAGGGAGTGGACCTCATTCAGTCGTAAGAAGCCCAGTCAGCCAAGTGCTAGGCAGGCCAGTGGCAATCTGGGCCAGGAGCCGCGGACAGAGCTTGCACTCACCCTAGCAGCAGCACCTGAGGCCTGAGAACTGTTCAGGAAGGCACAAGGAAGTAGACGAAGACAGGCCCTGGAGAAAGGTTCTAGAGAAAGAAATTAAGTCAGAGTCTGACCCAACTGACCAAGTAAGAAGCTAGCTACTGTAGGGCCACAGTAAGCCCCATGTAGGGAGGGGAGCAGGAGTGAAGCTGCATACGAGCCAACCAGAACGGGTGGCCCCAATTCCCAGGAGCCTGGGGCAAGCAAAATACCTCTGGACCAGTGATACCCTGTCTCAGTAACTTCCAAAGACCTGCTGGTCAGGCTCTATTCAAAAGTACCAAGTAAGTTCTAGAAGGACAGGAAGAGAGGCACCTGGTGACCAGAAGGAGGCCAGGAGCTGGATATGGAAAAAGGGTTCGGGTGTAAACTCTGCCAGATTTCAAGTTCCACATGAGCAGGGTTCTTGTTTTGTTCACCGATGTCCCCCAGTGCCTGGCACATAGTAGGAGCTCAATGGAGAATTACTGAATGGTCAATGACAGACAATCAACAACCCACAAGTGGCCAGGCACTGGCCCTGGAGGCATTCCGGAGGCAAAGAGCAGAAAACGGTGAGGGAAAAGAGGGTACAGCAGCCTGCTGGGAGGCACGGGAGAGCAGGCAGCTCTGGAAGATGTGGAAATAGTAGGCATCGCCTAGGACAAAAGGGGAAGTACAGGCCACTTCTCCCACCACAAATGATCCCTTACTCGCACATGATGGGAAGGGCAGGGCCCACTCAGCAGCTTGTGACCAGCAGGCAGGCCCGCCTGGGCAGAGGGAGGCCCCAAGCCCCCACCCCACTAGTGTTTATAGTCAGCAGAGAGTGTTTAGAGTTCAATCCCTCCACATACCTGCATAGGGAGCCTCTCCAGTCCACCACACAGGGTGGGGCAGGGCGAGTCATCAAAGCCCAAAACCAGACCTACCTCAGAAGGCCTAGACCAGACCAGGCCAGACCAGTCCACAAGGGCTGCAGCTGGGTCAGGACTCACCTCCCTGGGTCCCACATTCCTGGCCGGGCCCAAGTGCTATTCTCCCAGAAGGGCCCATTTTCATTGACTTTTACATCCCAGGACTGATAAGACCCAACTTCAAAACCAAGGTGCCATCAAAAACCTTGCAAGGTCCCTTCTCCATTCCTAGGGCAGCCCCTCCCAATTCCAGGCCTCAGGGAAAGGGAGAAAGGTCATTCATTCATTCAGGCCTGAACTGAAGACTTCCTTCTATGGAAAAAAAACCAATCCCCTCAACACTGAGGCTTCATGCTACCTCGCTCACCCCGACAAGCGTCTGCAAACGCAGTGCTGAGGGTGGCCTGTCTCCCAGACATCCATACTGCACCCTCGGCCTGTCTGACCCACCCCCACCCCCCAACTCCACTCCCACCTCTGGGTCCCTGCCGGCTCTCAAGACCAACCTCTC